AAGTCAGACGCAGACACTCCAAGCGCGCGTTGTAATGCATCGTTCCGGTCTTCTCCGCGTAGTTGGTCGATTGAATAGAGGACATCTCGGAGTTGTGGATGTGTTGCAAGTACGTTCCGCACGGTGGGTGATGTAGCTGCGGATCCCGCGTCAGTTAGAGTGACGAGGCGGACAAGCGGACAGAACAGCAAAGATACCGAGACGGGCGGAATCATAAATGAAGCTTAAGATTGAATGAATGAATTAAGGAAGGTAAGCTGACCTATGGCTTCGTATTGACGGAGTTGCAGAGGCTTGGGGTCATCTCTCTTTAGCGGATCCGGGTAAGCGGATTCTTCTTCCACGTATGGCCAATTCAAAGAAGTCAGAGGGCGTAGAGGAGGTGAGGGTGATCTGAGTTGTGATCCTGGAGCTTCCGACTCCGTGTAAGGCTCTTTTGCTAGAAAACGAAAGGCAGTGTGTCAGGCGCCATGTCACGATTCAGCATGACCTACGAGCCATAAGCAACTAGGTCTAATGCAACTCACATGGATCTTCAGGTGGGTGTATCTTACTGGCTTCTTTGCCTGGTGGATAAAAACTTGTATTGGACTGCGCAGGGTCAATCAATGGCGTTGCATTGGACGGGCCTGCAACGTCAGCCACAGGGGAGCACCCAGATTCTAGTCTCAATTCATAATTAGTGCGAATAGCGAAAACAAGTCACCTGGAAGTAAATTTACCTTTATGGTGTTTATAGCAAAGAACCGAGCAACTGTGGTGAAGATTTGCGAAAGATTTCTGGTCAGTTGACGCTAGAGAAAAGTGTAGCTAGTGAGAAGAAGTACTAGAGGACCATGCATTTCGAACAGGTGTATTTTGATCCCTGGGCTTTGCACACTTGGCATTGGGGTCGCTTTTTAGGTGGCATATTCCGGACAATTATGAGCGAAATAACCAAGTTTGCTGCTTGCAATGTCGCGGTGAAGTGGATATTGATGCAATCAATTTTGGCGATTGGTGTACACTTTAGGAAGGTGAACATGTTCCACCCTGCCGCTCAGAAGACTGGCTTCGTGTTCTAGATAGCAAAGTTTAAGGATCTACAAAATTTTCAAGCAGTGCCGCGTTATACCACGGCAGTTACAGGATATTCTGCATGCAAAGTTGAGCGGTCATCTTACCCCGGTCTATGCTGAGGGCTACTGCCTTATGGCTTCCTTGCTGAAAAGCGTATAGGACAGCCTAGGATAAGTCAGAGTTTTGTTGATCTTCAAGATATCCCATCAATAGCAGAGTACATCTATCTCAATGTTCATCATCTCTGATCTATGAAATATGGCAGTGTTCAATCATTGTCTCCGTGCTGCGCTTTCCCTGAGCGTTCCAGTCCTAAATATACATCCTGTCCAACACAGAAGCGGCACACAAAATTGGACACCTATGAACTACTCTTCCCGGTTAAGTCTCATGAGGCTCATATCCTCCCAGAAAAGAACATTCGTCTCAGCAAAAGTTTACCGCAGCAATTGAGATGCCGCGCAACCGCGCAACCATCTCATAGTGTCCACATTCAGGAATCATTTACTCACGATGAACATTTGAGTGTATTCACAGCCTGAAAAGATCTCTGCAAGAGAGCCAGAGGGCGCTGCAGAACAAGACTCAGGTTGAAGAGCTGAAGCCTCGTCTTGACGGATGAAGAGGTGGCGGGCCGAAGGCAATCCGCAGCCGATGCGGGTCGAGAGGACCCCGGATAATTCTCCACGAGCTTCGATCCCAGGATCCCGAAAAATCGGGCCTCCAGAGGCCCAATGTTGCATCCCGACCCCGAAATTTAGCCTCATTTTGGCCGGGAGGTACGGTACAGGATCCCCGAAAAATTGGCCGAAGGCCGAAAAATTATGTGCCGGCGGGGTTCTTGAAGCTCAATCGGAAATAATTAGCAAAAATTGGTTGAGGTTCGATGTATAGGACCCCGAAATTTTGACCGAACCTGCCTTAGGTTATGTATACGACCCCGAAATTCGGCCGTAGGCCGACCCCGAAAAATGGCCTCCTCGGGATCGAACCTCTCAGGGAGTTATCCGGGGTCCTGGGTCGAGGTGTCACAGCATGTCACATGGTGACAGATGTGTCACGATGTAACAACCGAAACATGTTGTTGCAGCAGCATCACGGCAACGGATAGCACTCTCCTGCGCTGGTCTCCTGGAGTTATACGCTGTCTCTCGACAAAAGCTTGTCATATTTCTGTCTTTCACGGCCTGCACTCACATACCGGGTGAAGAATTTCTAGTATTCCCCGCAAGTTTTGTTCCACGGGTGCCACTGTGCCGACTTGTGACCTCGGAGGTTGTGTGACATCCAAGCACTTACTCGGCGGCTGACCTGCCTGCTGTCCTCAAATACCTCTTGTCCTTCGCTCGCACAGCCCCCCTTCCACTCTCTCTCGACGCCCAGTGCGTCCTAAACGCTTTCTTTCTCTTCATAATGTTACCTTCATCGATTCTACCGCTTCTCGCTCTCGTCTCACTCGCTGTTGCCGAACCCATACACGTGCCATTGACGCGCAGAAATCCAAATCGTCGTGCACTCGACCCATCTCATTTTGCTCTTGCTGCTGAAACGATAAGGCAGAAGTATGGTTTCGTAAAACACAGCGCGGTGAACAGCACGCAGGAAAGACGTGCTGGGCAGACCGTTGGGATCCAAACCATCAATCAGGTGTGTACTATTATTGTCTTGTTCCCTTGGACATCTTGTGGCCCGTAGTTGGCACGAAGGAAGCTGTGGCTTCTCACTTTCGATAGTCAATGGGAAAGCACCCTCTTGGGGTTGGTCGCTGGGGTGGGGGGTTGCTATTCGACAACGCTCGGCACGGTTCCTTTGTTTGTTGGCTTGGCTGCCCGGCTTAATAAAGTTACCCCAGGAATTTCCAGTCGGGTCCTAAGTCATGTATGCTGACCACCTTTTCTCTAGCAAGCTGATTCATCGTACATTGGAGGGATTTCCATCGGCACACCCCCGCAAACCTTCAATGTCGTATTGGACACCGGCTCATCCGACCTATGGCTTGCTTCCTCGGGATGCCAATCATGCGCGAGTGTACCTACTTTCAACCCAGACCAGTCATCCTCCATCTCTCAGCCTGCTGGCAGTTCTCGGCAGGTCGAGATCCATTACGGTAGTGGTGAAGTGGCTGGAATACTTGCTCAGGATACTGTGAGCATGGGTGGTTTCACCATCAACCCCCAGACCCTACTCGTGGTTACAGATATGTCAGACGGTCTAGTGGACGGAGATACCTCGGGCATAATGGGCCTGGCATTCCAGTCGCTGGCATCGACTGGTGCTGTACCGTTCTGGCAAGCGTTGACGAACGCTGGCCAGTTCGCGAGCCCTGAGATGTCTTTCTGGTTGACTCGTTTCTTGGATGTGAGTAACCCAACGGACGATGAACCCGGAGGCGTGTTCACCCTCGGCGGAACGAACAGCACTTTGTTTACTGGCGATATTGAATTCTTGGATCTGGCCGCCACCAGTAGCGCGAATTCTGCGACTTTCTGGCTACTACAGATGTCGAGTACGTCAATAGTCATTACCTGGATGATTCTATATTCATACTATATTCTAGGTCTTACTGTCAATGGACAGAATGTGCAGATATCTACTGGCGACGCAGCTTTGTCTGCCATTGACACAGGCACCACCCTCATTGGTGGACCCACCGACGGTGTCCAGGCCTTGTACAGTGCTATTTCTGGTAGTCAGGCACTTTCGGGTCAAATGGAGGGCTTCTTTGCCTATCGTTCGTCTTCATGTGTTACGTGACAGTGAAGCCCGCACTAACTATATGCTGTCGTTTCATAGCTTGTTCTACTGAACTCTCGGTCTCAATATCCTTCGGTGGCAAGTCTTGGCCGGTTAACCCTGCCGACATGAATCTCCAGACAATGTCCAACGATCTATGTCTCGGAGGGATTTTCGATCTGGGACTCGGGTCAAATATTGGCAGCGGGGGAGGTAACCCGAGCTGGGTCGTCGGTGACACTTTCTTGGTGAGCTTAATGGATCATATATGCGTGTAATGCCTGACCGTGTTTTTTTCGCAGAAAAACGTGTACTCTGTCTTCCGCTCCAACCCTCCATCTGTAGGATTTGCCCAGCTATCAGACGCCGCAGGCGGTTCTTCCGGTACGCACTGTTCACGTCTCCGCAGAGCTTTTTCATGACCTCACCAGCTTCTTTATCTTCTGTATCGCATACTGTACCTTCTGCCACGGTCCCGTCTTCTGCTGTACACTCTACCCCTCCTGTTGTTTCGTCTAACTCTGTTGTATCATCATCGTCCGCTATCGTTTCCTCCCCAACTTCAATAACCCAAACAGGCACGCCCTCCCCCGGCGGTACTAACTCTGTAACATCCACAAACTCTAACCTACCTCTGCCCACAAGCAGCGGCAGTGGGACCGGTTAGTCGCACGTAGCATTTACAAAAAAATTACAACCTGCTGACGCAGTCTACCGTCTCTTTAGGTTCCGGAAACTCGCCCACCACTTCTTCATCGTCGGGTGGCAGTAGCGGCAACAGCTCCGGGGTTGCGTCTTTGAAGTCATCGAGCGTAGGCTTCTCAATATGCGCCGCTATTTCCCTCGCCGCTACTTTCCTCATCGTCGCGTGATCTCTGTGCATTCTCTCTCGATTATTGGTTGTCCTCCGTTTATCATACGATGATAGGATGATTGGCATTAGAACAATTCACGTATTTAGGTTTGAATGGACGTGCGATGCATTCATATATGCTAGCGGCGGTGCTTTGAGATACCATGAACGCTCTGTTTACTTTCTAATGATGATATACTGGATGCCTATTAGCTTAATGCGATGCAACTGTATATGCTACATGTAGTGTTGCCACGTCTTTGATGGTTCAGTGTGCGACTGCCACAACAGATGTCGACCTGTGGGATGTAAGTCTTTTGGCCCTATAAAAAAAAGTATAAATATTGTTTTGCATGGCCGACTAGCTCAGTTGGTTAGAGCGTGGTGCTAATATTCCTTGCGAATAAAACAATTACGCCAAGGTCGTCGGTTCGACCCCGGCGTTGGCCATTTCTTTTTGTCCCTCATTTTTTCTTAGTTCAACGTAAACATCGTGATTCGTGATTCGTAGATGACAAGGCTTCAACAGTCAACAAGGTACCGAGTCTATGTACTACGTATGGTGAGGCCCAGGTCCTTGACGCACCAGATTGCACGTTGTAGACACATTACTCTCAAATAAAAGACGAGACGTGATGAAGACCTGGTATTCAGCTAGGTCTTGATTCGCTTGGCAAAATACATGACACATAAAACTCTGTACCTATGTACATCTTGCGTGGTCGTACGCTCGGATCGACGGCGATGGGCATTGGATGAGATACCAACCAAGTTATGGGAATAGAGGGATGTTGCCGAAACACCCCCCTGTTTGACCTCCTCCCTCCTCCCCCTCCTGCGTCTTTCTACCCGGGACACAATGCGTCGTGATGGCGGTCTGCTTCGGCATCTGCGGAGAAAGAGTCTTGTGTGTTTGGGACTTAAAACTGCTTCTTATAGATGCCCTCATACTTGTATCTTCCCCTGAGGTCCAGCGTGAATTCGAACCGATGGGTGTAGAAAAGTGGCGCGGTTGTGGCAGAACAGGTCGTTGAAAAGAAGTGTACTCCGAAGGTTTGTTCACCGGTCACCTTGGCATATTGCCAAATACGACGGGCATGCGTGCATGGCTCCGACATAAGACAGCAGCAGTACAGGGCACGGGCCGGGAAAAGGCGGAGATGATAGATAAAGCCTAATACGCTTCATTGATTGATTCGATATAGCAGGAGCACTTAGGCTTCATGAAACTGCTCGTCGTCGAAATCATCGTCCTCTTCCTCTAGGGCAGCCTCTGCTTCAGCTTGGGCTTGGGCTGCAGAGGCGGCCTGAGCAATTGCCTGTTCCAAGAGCTTCGTCTGCTCCTCGGACAACCAAGACAGCGAAATCGGTCCAGCGGAAGAGGAGTCGACGGTTGTCTCCGGCTGAGTATCATGGATATCCTCGGAGACAGTAGCATTTGGAGGAGGAGCTTCTGACGGCGGAACTGGAGGTATCGGGGTTTGGTATTGGGCTTGAGAGCGTGCAATAACGCTCGCAAGAGTCTGATGACCTGCATGGGGAGGAATCTCCAGCACGGATCCTGGTGTTGGAGGAGGCACATTGCTGACCCGAGCATGTATAATTGGGTGCAACTGCAACACTGTGGCTTGTGCGTGCTCGATGACATGCAGTGGTATTTCGCCTTCTTCTGCAGAGCGTTCATCCTCTACCCCAGATCCAGCTCCTTCGGGCGGGGCTCCTGGAACAGGCGCATTTGCAAGTTGATTTGCAACGATTCCATTCCATAGTTTGGCTCTCCGAGTCGCGTCCTCTTCGCCTTCCTCCTTGTCGACCTCGACCTCTTCAATGTCGGCCGAGGCACAAGCTGAATCTGCATGCCCTTTGCCTCCGCGCCCTCTAGTGTCCTGATGTCGCTTGATGGCATCCCTTCGAGAGAACATTTTGCCACATCCTGAGCACTTCCATGCCGTCTTATCGTGCAGTTTGATGTGTCTTTTCAGGTCATGGTTACGGAGAAAGGAAGCGGGACAGGAGTTACAGCGGTAAGGCCGGTTGACCAGAGCATGAGCACGTTGATGTGTTCGGAGAGAATACAGGCGATGGAAGGTCTTCAGGCATGAATGAATCAAACACGGATATACCGCAGTGCCTATATCAGGCGGAGGCGAGGCTACGGGCGCAGTCGGAGCCCACGGAGGAGGAGTGGGACCAATTGGGATGTTCGTTAGAATCCCGAGCATTTGAATCATGCCACCAAGCTCTTGCAAAGCGTGGGCTTGTTCCGGTCTAGCTCTGGGAGCAGACGTCATTGCGAATAGGAAGACCTGATGAAGCTGGTATTGGATGGAAGAAACGACCCCAGATTCAGGTGGATGATTTGTTGGCGGCTGAGTGGATAGGGCAGAGGTAATGATCCGCACAGCCTCAGAAATCTGAGAGGGCAAGTCAGGATATTCAATGGCAGCCTTCTTGAGGTATCTGCCGTCAGTAGAACCTTCATCGACGCGGTCCCGTTTTCGTTTGCCTTTATCCAGCTGAATGGAGGGGGCGTCCGAGTTGCGCATAGATGAGAAGAGTACCTCTGATTTCGCCAGAGAAACGACAGCGTCGCTGAGAGGCCTGGCTAGGGCCTTAGAAATTGAATTGGAGGAAGCACATCGAGTGAGAATATCCAGTACGCTCGCATTTTCAGCAGCAGGAATTATTGAAGTGGCCAAAGTCGCGCGCACGACAGGGTCTTTGAAGGCAAAAGACAGGATAGTCCGTACAGTAAGGAGGGCTGCGTCCTGCTTCTTGTTTTGGGACTTCTTGCCCTCATATAGTTTGGGAGATGGCTCTTTGGTCATCGGTGACGAGGGGCGTATGCGGGGTGGAATGGATGGTTCTGCGGCCGCAGGGGTGGACGTCGTTGCTGCTGCTTCCGCCTGAGCCTTCGCAATGTCTGCCCAAAGCTGGTCACCAAGTCGACGTGCAATCTCTTCTGCTTCTGCATCATATTCTTCCTCGTCATCGTAGTCCTCCTCTCCGTCTTCCCACTCTTGACCTTCAGCAGTGGGGTCGTCCGCGCCCTGTAATAATGGATCCATATTGCTGCACGTTTCCTGTTAGTCGAACATTCAGTAAAACTTCAGACTTCAGCACCCACCCTAAACACTTCCAAAGTAATTGACTGAATGGGGGTAATGCGAAGTGATAGCAACGATAGCTTCATAGAAAAGAAAACATAGCGAGGTCGGTCCTATTCGAAGAGGACGAAGTCAAGAAAGATCTGAGATCTGCTTAAGTTCGTTGATCTGAGGTAGGGCGCTTAAACAATCCTCTTCAATTCTTCAATCCATGCTGCCTAAGATTTTAGGAGCTCGGACAAATATTCGGTACGATAGTCGCGTTGTCTGAGGTAAGTAGCCATAAGCTGTATACGACATTTAAAATCTTAAAAGATTCTCATAGTGGGCAGAAGTAGGTTGTAAGGCAAGCTCGTCCAAGGTCGAGATCCCGAATTTCTCGTATGCCGACTCGTGGGTTAGTCTCGAAGATCATTAGAACATGGATTTCAGATTTGATCGGTGTAGATTAACGGACCCTCTCAACCGATTCCTCTGGATAACTTCTCCCACAGTCGGGATAGTTTCGCATTGTACAGGACACGGCAGCACCTGAACGAAGCGGAAAGGAGAGACCATCATTCTTATGTTCTATAGGTCTAGATGCAAGCCTCGCGTGGTTTCGCACACAACCTTCGCATCCGTGCGCGCCGCTTTGTGGTGGGTCCCGACGGTGAACCCATGCTCGAATGGCGGCATCGGCATCGACAACGCCACTACAGATATGCTCATCCTACAACGATCTGGCAGAACTTCTGTCTGGCCGTGTTGGCAATGAGAAGGTTGAAAACTAGCAGTTCTTAATTCGCTAATTCGGAAAGAAAAAACATACCATAGGAATGCGGATACTTGCCTCTATGAACTCTCAGTATTTCTGGGTTGAGACCTATGCAAGCCTTGCAGCAGTGTCGGCATCTTTATAACCTGTTCGTTATAACCTTGTTCATGATATACCAGCTACAAATGTGTCGCCGATGTGACTGGGTTGAAATCATAGAGCGGGTTTAATAGGATTCAATGGCATGGTATACGGGAGCATTTTCTCAATGCCACTCGCAACTCCTGGGATCGAGAAATTACAGCACTGTGACGGTTCTTGCGACCAATATTCTGAGAACACAGGTGTTGAGAATCCTCGTGGTGGTCTGTCCCGCACCTTGGAGTGATGTGACACACTCGTCTATATCGCCCGCTGCATGATTATCGCAACATCGACGGTGTAATCGATGGCATAAGCGTGAGATCGTCGCGGTCGTTGAGCTGCCATCTAAAACAATCTGACCTGTCACATCGCTGCAGATACGTATAGGTCGTTTCGCTGTGATCCGTGGTGGTAGGTGGTGGCGGGGCGGGGCGGGTAAATCGGTGATAATGATAAATCATTGTATGCTCCGCTTCGAGGCTAATGGCAGCGTGGCTGCCTGGGACGCCAACACAGAGTACTGAAGGGCCGTAGAATTCTGCAGCAGCATCGCAATGATTAACTAGCGATACATTATAAGCCGTCGAGTATGTTCACACCCACAAGGATCATACTTCCAGATCTCCTCCGGTTGCCAAGGACCTGGTCCGGTAATTTCAGCAGGTTCTTGTCCGTTTGTCGAAGATGTGGTGAGTGGAACAGCCTACGAAGTTAATTGCTTGAATAAAGGGAGCGAATTGTTCCAGGTTACAATTTGCAGCGCCTGAAGTTGTGCACCCTGCGAAGCAGAGCAAATTGTTCATTACCAACAGGTCATAACGTGATGGCTAAATGAACTCTATTAGACCGCATGGGCAATGATAGTGCTCCCAAAGAGGGGCGACAAACCTGATGTTTGCGAGGTCCCGACTGAGGCTACCGGATAGCAGAGTTGAACCCTCGCAATAATACCTACCGTTTTTGGGATGGCACCGGGGGTATTGCACAGTTGAATCCCGATGCAGATTCGAGCCTGGGGTTGCCTGGGGGGCTTCCTGCGAGAACTTCTCATGCACGGCGACATCTTCAAACCCCAGTTTTCCAGCGCCCTTCATTCACAGTCTCGGGACGATGCAGACGCGTCTTACCTCAATCCAGGTCTCAGGTTCCATCGATCTTGCAACCGCCTACATTTCCACTCATTTCGGCGGTTGTTGCGGACAGAATGCTACTGTAGAGTCAGATAGGTAAGGCCCCGTAGTTTGACAGAGTGTCGCCCAATCTCATTCCGTCTGCATTTCCGAATTGAGATGAAGAACATATTGAATAGTGGGTAGCGACTTCGGCTCTAGGTGGTCACGATGATAGGTATGGAGCTGATGATAGCGACGGCTGTCACCAGTGTACTGATTTCGAGAGGGTACTAGATTGTGCCGAGTCGGAACATGCATCCCGGCATATCC